TTAGTCAGAGCCTGTACTGTTTTTCCGGTTCTTTTGAATTGAATTTTCCCATTGATTTAGGGGGTTTAATGAAAAGAGAGGCAATTGAAAAGCGAAGGCTATTGAACTCGTGACTTGCCCGCACAGCGGGAACGGACGGGAACCGAGGGAAATCCACTAGGGGGATCAGTTTTTGCCAATTTAACTGTAACCAGGGAATGCATTGCACTAGGGGATCAATTTAAGGGACTTTTCAATAATATTCCCTACGCACAAACTGATTTGCTCGTATGCGTGCTTGCATGTAAATTACCCCAAGGCTAAGGGGGGATCAATATGAGGGACTTTTGAAAAATATTCCCCCCGCACACACTGATGTGCATGTATGTAAATTACCCCAAGGCTACGGGGGATCAATATGAGGGATATTTGCTCGCATGCGTGCATGCAAATTACCTCCTGCTACGGTTACTGTTCTCTTTTGCCGCTCTCAAAAATAATATATACGTATGACACTCACTTAAGGCTGGACTATAATGTACAAAAAGAATTCTATAGAATTTCTTGATTAACATAATTACAATTCTTCGTCGGACCAAGTTTTTCACATCAACCCAAGTGTCCAGTAAGTGTCATAGTGGTATGACAACCAAATAGTAATGAACTTTGGGAATTTTGTGTGACTTGATTTATTTCTCCTCCCCGAAAAAAATACAAAAAAATGGGAACATTAGTTCCACTCAACTGATTCTCTGCTCTAATTGAGTTTCTGTTGAAGGTTAGTCCCCACACAACATGCTTCAAAATTGATTGAAGATTTACCCGATTAGTTAACATGCCTACTCGTATGTTGCTGTTGTTTACATTATATATTTTCCCCTTCATTTTGGAGAGTTTGTATTCCCCAAACATCTCAATCAATCTGCGTTGCTGGGGCACACCCTGAAATTTTTGTTGTTGTTGCTCTACAATTTTCAAGCGGCTGTCAGTTGAAGCGCAAAGATGCTTATGGCTCTGTAAACAAATTAATAGAGAAATATTAACACAAAAATATCCAAAATACCGGACTATACAGATTTATGTGCTCGTTATAGAGCTATCGCTAAACACTTAATATTATTGTTGTGGAAATTATCAATAGAGAAACATAGGTGCCACTATATTTCCACTGGCAGCACCCGATCGGTTGAGTCGAAGTTCCCTCCATTAATAATACATAAGTATGTGGTGCCCCCTGTTCAGAGTGAAGTACTTCCAGAGTATAAATATCTTTATTAATCTATTGTTGCCAGGGCATTTGGGTTTCGGACACACCTTCCGCTTCAGTTCCTTCTCAAATGCTGTTTCCTCTCTACACGACGACGACGCCGTCGATGATGACGATGTTGTAGCCGAGAGCCGGTTTACAGAGCCGAGCTGCCGCACGTTTACTTTATATCTACAGTTACAGTGTGTACGTAACTTTGAAATTGTTGTTGTTGTTGTTGCTTTTGTTGGTTTGTAGTCTATTGGTTGTCTGGCGGCTTTTTGCATTTGTTGCGCTCTATTTGACTTTTACTTTTCATTTGCCACTAGAGGAGCCATTCAGTTATTGTTGGTGTATCTTTCTCCCTCTCCCTCTCTCTCTCTCTCTCTTTCTTTCTTTCTTTTTTTTTGACTATTTAATATTAGTGCTCACATTTCCGCCTCCATATCTCCATGATTCATGTTGGAAGATGGAAAGTAAAAAGAAATTACAGTCAAATTATGATAAATCGAAAAGACAGCATTTTGGCTGATGATTTCTTTATAAGATGCAGGGATACTGCCCGTCCAACGGCAGGACATCCCATAGATACCATGTGCAATGCCCTCCGGCCGGCTGTGCTGCATTTCCACCTGCAGTTCGCTCGTCTCAAGCTTCGGCCTGGTGTCGCTTGGCCCACTTAATGAGCCCCAGTGAAGTGGGGCCCCCAGGGGGAACGGGGAACGGGGAACTGGGGTACTGAAGGACCCTCTCGCACAACGGTTCCAAAGTGTGTCAGGATAATGAAGTGCTTCCTAGGGGTTCCGTTTACAGATGCTCGACTGCAGATTGCTTGGACTATTTTTAGTAGCTATGATTATTTCCGGGACAGTACGTGCGTGGGCTGTATTCGTATTTGTCCGGAACATGCTCTCAATACGATTGACGCTGAGCTCACCAAATATGGTTTGGGGGAGAAATTGGGGTTAGCCCCATGGCAGATCTCTCTCTTTCCCCCTCTCTCTTGCGGCAATCTATTGGACTAGATCTTCATGTGGCCGGCCGTAAATCGTAAACTTCTTTTTATCTTAATTAATTTGTTATGGCCACACATAAAAAGCCGAACAGAAGCTGAGGAACGAGAAGATGGAAGTAGAAGAGAAGAAATTACATAATCTGCAGCTCCCTCGCCCCCTCTCTGATTGTAAGCCTCAATTGAGAGGCGAAGGAGGAGTGGGGGCCACAACGATAAGGAAAGTGAGTGGAAATTGAATTCACTTTTCGGTGGTGGCCTTTATATTGTATGTTAATCTGATTTAAGTTGCGTGTCTGTTAATGTAAGCCACATTATACGTTTGTCTCATGTCTGGGTCTCGGCTCTTGGATCTCCGTAGTCGCCACTCTCCACCTTCCCCCTCCTGTCTCGCGGAGCTGTCTCTCTTTTTTTTTTCGTTGGTTCGTTTTTGGACGCCCCCCACAAAGACACTCAATTGTGCGATGTCCGGAAGCGCAGCCCAGCCCCAGCCCCGACACCGCATCCACCCCACATTTTTTGATCAAATGGGCGTATCGGTCGGCATCGTGTGAGTGTTATAGAGGTTTACTCCATCCATTCAATGGTTCTCCTCCCAGGCACTTGGGATTTGGCCTCTTCAAATTGATTCTGAAGTACTTTCCGGGGACTTGAGCGTATAAATTATCTCTTTCATGTTGTTCACATGTCAATGGGCTAATAAGACAAAAGCATAATATGATTTATGCCGAGAGGCAACAAATGGCAACAAATAAAGAATGCTAATAGTGGAAGTGGCTGGACGGGGGAGGGAGGGCCAAATTCGACGTTTAGTTAGTTTAAGTACTCGTCCATTTACACGGACTGGTTGGTCACCCACTTAGAGAGACCCATTTTAATGTCACAGTAAATAATGGGGCCTCTTAGCACAATTTAATGTCCATTCCGTCCATAATGTAGTGTTTAAATCATGACAGTTGTACATATCTGATGATCAATTTGTTGAAACCGAGAACATAACTGACATGGCACCACCAACACCACCCGTCTGTCCAATAAAGCGTTGGTAAGCCATAGAATCACTTAGGTATTAAACGACTTAGGGCTATGATCGAATAAGGGAGAAAATCTGAGTCTCGGAGGGGTATTTGACTGTATCACTGTACGATTCTTCTTAGTTTCTTCCTTTTTTCGGGGTTTAGTGAAAATATACTTAAGAAAACAGCAAGAAATTCTACATTTAAAACATATACTCATTAAAATACCAAATAAATACTAGAAAAATACTAAACCGCTAAAAATTCCAAAGAGAATTATTATCATTTTATATTTATTTTTTCGAATTTAATAATAAAATAAAAATACCTAAGAAAATACCCCAAAATTCTAAATTTAAAACATTTACTCATTAAAATTACAAGAAATACTGAAAATACAAAAAAATAAATCGGTTTGAGAAAAAATACCAAATAGCAAAACGTTGCGAGGAAAATATAATAAAAATACTTCCACTTATTATTTTATATTTTTGTTTCGGATTTAATAATAAAATAAAAAATACCAAAAAATTCTAAATTTAAAACATACTCATTAAAATACCACAAAATACTAAAAAAAAATAGAAAATTTTAAATTTAAAACACATACCCATTAAAGTACCACAAAAATACTAGAAAATTACTCAAAATACCAAAAGGTTTTGAAGAAAATATTATAAAAATACTTCCAGTCGGTGTTTGGACTTATTATTTTACATTTATTTTTCGGATTTAATCCAAAGAAATCCCATATCGCTCACAGCGAATGATCTCGTTATTATGTCGTTGGAAACGAATGTGTCCGTTCGCTTATGTGAAATTCGCACAGCGCATCCAGACATAATGTGCATCCAATGGAACTCTGCACAAAAGTTCTATATCAAGGAAATTTAATTCTCCACCACGCCATGAGGAGGTTTGCCGACTGTGACTGCACAAAGAGAATGGCTGCACAATTTGCCAATTAGAGGGACTCGTAGAGATGTCATTTTCTGCCGAAGTGACAGAACGATTATCAGGTTAGGCTTCGGTGCCCGCAAAGGGTACAAAAACACTCGTACGAGTATGTGGGATCTTGTCTGGTTCTATCTTCGACTCTGATTTAATAAACCAAAAGACAAGAGTTACGCTTTGGTAAGCGCTGAGAAGACATTTTCTGCTCCAAAACTTTTATACGGTCTATACATATGTACATAAATCTGTTAAATATGTACAAAAGTCTGTGGAGACTGTGTTTCAATTTGCAGCTTCTTTAAGCCAAAACAACACAACACAACAGCCTGATAAATATCTCTGTTTCCGTCTGTTTGCATACGCTCTTACGGCTTTCACACACAACAGCCATTTTTACGATGGTACTCGAAATCTCTGCAGACAAAGATGGGAAATAAAGCGCGAAAGCAAAAGGCTAGATACTGTATATACCCTCTGTTACAGCGATTGTTTTTCTAGTGTCCGCTGGAAAGGAGATCTCCGAGGATCCCTCCCCAAAAGTTGAAATGTCGGACTCCAAAGGCGTCCCATAGGATACCTTTTTGGCTATTGAGTTTCAAATATAATGCAGAGAGCTCCCCCCCTCCTTACAGAGAGATCATGCGGCAATCGTCAGCTCAGATTAATCGGAAATCATAAGCTCACATTTAAGACTGAGTGCCGAAAGAGACCGAAGGTAGAGCCGCGGCCCTTGCCGCGCCTCACAACGCTACCGCTCGTTTCTGTAACATTGAATTGAGAAATATGGGAGGAGTATGGATATTTAATGTATGTCATGTATTTGATACTGTATTCAATTGAAGGCTGTGAATATTACTTATCAAAACTTGGCTCAGTGTCCAGGCTGTGCATGGACTCCGGACTTTGACGCCTTGAGAAGCTACCGCGTTGTTTCTTTAGATTACATTCTTCCTCATTGCAGGCCATGCAAACGTCCACGAAATGGGAAAGCTTGGGAGAAGCAAGTTCTTCTATAATTTTCTGAGCCCTAATCAGTGACTCCTTGGTGCGTTCCACCTTGTGGAGGGCTGCATTGGACTTGATGATCAGAAGAGTGCACAGAAATTTCCATATCAAGCTATTGCAGTTCTTGGTCTCTGGAAAAACAATGAGTTTTTAAGTCAGATATGGCTATAACTACGAAGAAGAATCCCTACCTGTTATGCCCTTTCTAGCTATAAAGCAGCATTCATCGAAGCGATTGGATTTGAGATGAGTGTAGCCAATCTGATGCAATAGATAGCATTTCTCGATCGAGTACTTGGCGAACAGCATTCGTTTTTCCAGTCGGGATATCCACTGCCTGGAGGATTACGAGTTTCTGGAATAGTGGCGTGGATGGGTTGGTGGGACGGAGACTCTTACCTCGATTTCGACATGGACAGATCCGTCACATCGGAGGCCTGATGAGTGGAGCGGTCTCCAAACACGAAATGTTGAACCTCCCAGGACTTGTCGGTGGGAAGGCAAAGCAGCTTGAGAAGAGCATCCTTGTCCTCCTGACGATTCTTGTCGGGGGGGACTACACACTGTTCGGCAAATGCCAGCGCCAATGTGTTGTACACTTCGTTCATGAATTCAAATTTCCAGGGCATAATCCGACTAGTTTTCAGGACAACGTAGTCTCCCATAACCTCCTCCACGTACTTCGAGAGTCGCTGTAGACAGCAATAATGGTTTCCTTGATGGCTCCCAAAAAATTAGGAAAAACTCACCGTCACGTTACCGACGGCCCGAAGATTTCGAATGCTCCTCAACACCGAACGCATGTTACGACCTGTCTGGTACTGCTTACGGAACAGACAGTCCTCCCGGAATTTGTTCATCAGTTTCTTGTTCGTGAATTTGTTGTATTGAATGTAATACATGGGAGCACGTGCATGAAGCATTTTCTGGAACACAATTTATGTACAATCTGTGTATATTTCCAAGCGTGATCTATACATACCAAGAAAATTTTGATTTCCTCATATTTCTTTTTATTGAGAGCTCCCAAAAAATATTTCGAGTTTTGACACTGTTCGAGAAGTAGAGTGGGGTTCCTGCAGAAAGTGGACGACCAGATGATCAGACGATCAATGGTTTAGTTTTGAAACAAAGTTACCTAAGCAATTTCTTCAAAAAAACCACATCAATCCATGACTTGTCCATGTAGATCTGATTAAAGACATTGAAAGCCCGATTTCGTCTAGCTATTTCCAGTGGGGACAGTAATTCGTCCTTAAAGGAATTGAGAGAGAGTCATGTTGGGCGAAAAAATGTAAAGGTCTTGCACTTACTTCGATTTCCAGGATACTCAAAACATCGCATTTGTTTAGCTCTTTTAGGACTTTCCACAGCGGCTTGTTCTGCACTTGCCCTTGGGCCTTGAGCTCCATTTCCTTCACCTGGATCAACAGCTTTTCATTCGCGGATATAAACTGTGTCAGCTCTTCTCCACAACAGTTTTTGATATTTTCGTCAACCTAAAACCAAATAAATGAAACGGAATCCTTGGGAGAACGCATTGAAGATCAATCATACCACAACGAGACGGTTCTCAAAGGCTTTGATCTTGTTTCCCTTGAAGATCCGTGTATTATCGTGCAATTCCGCCTTGGCATTCTCAAACTGATTCAGTTCGTAGAGAGCATCACAGATTTCCAGATTAATCGGAGCGTTTTTGATTTTGAGTCCCTTTAAAATTCCTGTAAATCAGTAAATCCGTAAATCAGTAATAGGCGGACATTCTCCGAGCGGGAACATACTTTTGGCTTCGCCACAGTCCTTGAGGGCGCCTTCTGTTTGGGCATTCTTCCGCTTCGTCTGGCTGCGGTGGTAAAGGGTCACATAGTCCTCTGGCATCATGGAGAGGGCCTTGTTGTAGTAGTACATGGCCATGTTCTCCCTCCGCCGGTGGGAGTAGTACGAGCCCCAGTCCTTGTAAATGCCATGCTCTATTTCAGGACTCCAATCGATTTTCAACCACACTGGCACGGCAGCTCCGACTCCTGCCGGCGGTGCCGGAACTATTGACGTCATTATCGGGTTTTATTTTTTTTTTAATTTCTAAAATTTATTTCTTTTTGTGTATTTTTGTTTTTGTGTTTTTTTTTGTTGGTTTGTTTTGTTGTGTGTTGTATGAGTTCTTAGAACATAATGACTAAAATGAATTTTCAAAAAATGTCCAAAAAATGACTTTATATCAAATGCTACACTCTTTGCCCCCAGGACGACAGCCATGTGACATATTTGTCCGATTTATATCAAGCTAAGGAGAATTATAACTACAAAAATTTTAAAGGGAGTCGGAAACTCCAGCTCCGAAAACGATTGGGTATCCGTTCGTTTATGGGAAATTTGTGCAACGTATACTGCCCTCTGCAAGGGTATCCTCCCCTCAACTGTCGCCTCTCTGAAGAGAGAAAGTGTAGAGAACTGTGCTGCCCAAGAAGTTCGGTGCTCAACCGATATCTGGCTGGGAGCCATAGTTTATTGAACTCCGAAGCTGGTCAGACCGCATGAAAGCCAAGTCTGGGCACTGGCCATTGGCACATACCCTCACACGTGCAGATGCCCCTCTTTGTGAATCAATGGAGACGATTCACGAACCATCATGATGATCATCTGATCCATGCAGACGATGATGAAGAACCCACTTGGACAAGTTCCAAAAGAAACAACAGCCAAACGTTTTTGTACTCATTTCCATAATGCTAATGACGCTATCATCGTTGTCGATTCCACTGCGTCATCGTTTCATACCCGTAGCATTTTTCGGATCCCCAGACCCCAAAGCTAAGGTCAATGGCGACAGCTTTCAGTCACCAAAAAAAATAAATAAATAAATATCCAGAGTTCTGCCGTGTCTCTTTATACCCCGAAAAGAAGACGACATGTACATATTTCGCGAGAAAAGAGATTTCTTATTGACTTATTTTCGGGATTTCGTGAGTCTCTTTTCAGCGCTAAATAATATTAAATGCCATATATCTTGGCATATCGGATACACCCAACCCAAAAGCCGACACTTTCACTCTGCTCCGAGGGGATCTGATGGGATCTTTTTTTTATGGGATACATTGTATAAACATTTTTGGAAGTCTCCGCGTAAGAAGGCCAATTCAGACTCAATTAAAATGTGTACTCGGGGAATGTTTTCCCCGTAAAGAACTCGAAAGGGGCGCAGCAATTAGAATGTTTTTACGTCATGCTCTTGAAAATTTTGTGGCCCCCGAACTTGTTGGCTTCCTTCCCATTCTTTTCTTCTATTCCGAATGGTTTAACATAAATATCTCGTGGATGTGGATGTGGGCCAAGCTACAGCCTGTTTAATTTAATTTTTAGCACTTTTTTTGTTAGCAGCTTCTACAGTCAGGGGCTAAAACAAATGGCCGTTGGATAGTGCATGGTATGGTACACACATATAAAGGTGTAAAAGCGCTTTTTGTCATATTTGGTTCATGTCAATGTTGATCTTTGGCACATTTCATCAGCTTTTAGCACTCGGCCTAATGAGGAGAAGGTGAAAATTCTTTGAAACTGCGAAAAATCACAGTCTGTTTAGGCTTAAAGGAGACATTTGTTAATGTACTTAAGCGCTAAAGCTTACTTTAATTTATTCTATGTAAATTATCACTGAAAACGTTGCTAAATTCTTATGGATAGTCGAATATTAAAGGCAACTTGTTAAAAGAAGAGTCTTTACGGATGTATCTTAGTGTCGCTCCACGCTTGCTTCTACTCAAAAAATTTGCTTGAATAAATTGGGTAAATATGGTTTTCGCCTGAACGATTCCTTTGTTAACAGATATTTTCAAGAGCAATAATAAATGCATAATTTATTAAGATTAATCACCGCAGGAAAAGCTGTTTCCCGCTTGAGAAGTTCTGCGTTTATGGCTGTATTTCATTAGATCTAACTGGCGGACGGTTGAGACTAAAAACTAGGAAGAGCGAGAGAAGTACTTAGTGTTGGTAAACATCGTTTATGTTGGACTAACGGCGCTGGCTACCAACACTCATTTCTCGTTGTATCCCGTGCTATCCTCTGCCTTTCAGCGCAGTCTAAAGGGAATACGACCATTAGCCAATCTCCCCGCCAAAAAGGCTATCTATTTAAATAACTTTGTTGAGATATGCTTGGCCAAGGGGATCTGTCGTATGGAATTTGTATGCTAATATTGCTGGCCCACATTATCCCATTTGGCCATCTGCTGCTGCTGGACACAAAACTATTTTCGTAATCAAATAAAGCGGCTCCAAAGCGTCCAGAACAGAAAATTCCCTCATGGGATTGGACCTGGGATTGTGTGTAATTTAGGGTATGAATTCTATTACATCTTTAGAGCAAAACTTGCTCCTACGAAAGCCACGAAAGTAATTCCACTTCTCGTTTTCCAGCAGCCTTTATACAATTTCTCTCTGTGCAAACTTTTGCCCAAAGCCCCGCAAATCCCCAAATGTCAGCTGGAGAGTCTGTCGAGTCTGTGTAGCAAAGTGTTAAGCCCCAAGAGAGAGTGGGAGGGGGGGGGGGAGAGAGCGACACAAATTGCAGGTGGCAGCCACAAAATTGTGGGGGGCGCGGCACTCTCCATTTTCACTCTATGATTTTGCAGAGAAAAGCCAGAGATACAAGTCCATATACTCTCGTACCCTCGTACTCTTGTACTTTGTCCGCTTCTGTTTCTATTTGTTTGTTTAATTAAGTTGGGCGCCCGGCCAATTGCACATTCAATTTAGAAGCATTTGCGCAGAAAAGAAGCAACAATACAGCAAAAATAAACAATCGAATTTGGCTCTGGCCCGCTCTCTGCCGATCTGGCCTTATAATTAAAATGTGATTAATGTCAACAATGTGGCAAACAGAAGCAGAATTTAGATGAAACAAGAATTCAAAGAATGCCAAAGAAGACTTGCGGAAGGGCGTCGCGTCGCGTCGCGTCTCGTCGGGGCATGCTTTTTGTTTGGGAGCGTTTAGGGAGCATCATTCGATAGATGTTTCTCTGTTCTGTTCTCTAAACGGAAGTCGAAATTGTATAAACACGTTCTTTTCTGCATAAACATTTAATAAACAAGCTTTAGGTTTATCCTACAAAAAATACACATTGGTATATTGTAGTCCATGTTGGCTAGTGCATTTTTCAGTATTTTTCTATCGGGTCAGTATCTTATGCAGACTTCCTTTGGTACTGAGAATTTTATTATATTTCAGCATATTTGTTCTTGCTTTCTATGGTATTCCTATTAGACTTTAATATTCTATACAGTCTTCTGGTAAATTTTCAGTATTTTTCGTAGGTGGGAGAGTGTTACGGTATGTTTTGGTACATATTGGTTAATTGCAGAGTATTTTAGATACTCTCGGTGTATATCATTTTAATATTTCAGTATGTTGTTCAGAATTAGTTATATTTTCTATTGTTTTAGTTTGTTTTGATATATTTTATTATATTTTTGTTGCATTTCGCTAAATTTTCGGATTGCTTCTATCAGTTCAGTATTTTATGCAGACTTTCTTCGGTATTCCGAATTTTTCGTGAATTTTATTAGATTTCAGGATATCTTTTCTTGCCTTTTATGGTATTTTTATGTATTTCGAGTAATTTTAAAGTACATTTCAAAACGTTTCAATAGATTTGAGTATGTTTTTGGTATTACACTTATTACTACATTTAGTATATTTTACAATGTTATTTTTTATTACATTTCAGTATGTGCTGTATGTTTTATTAATTTTGAGATGTTACCATAAAATCATTACAGTTGTTTGTATTTTATTGGTTTTTTATTGCTTGTTTTTTTTTAGGGCACTTGCACTGTGCACCGAGCACCTTCATTATTTATGTATTTTTAATACAATTATAGTACATGTGGGAGTACCTCTTAAACCATCGTTTCCCCCTCCCCTCCCGGCTGCCCGTTCCACTCAATCCATTTTCCGTCTCAGGTCACGCGTCGAAATTTTATTAACACATAAATCCGAATGGGCTAGTGGTACGAGTATATGAAAGTTTGCCACATTTCTTGATTTTTTATTATCATTAATCGTTTACCCTTAGCATTGCCATCTGTCATTCGGTTTTACCGGAAAAAAGGGTGCGCTCGATGCCCTTAAATACTATGTAAGAGTATGTACCTTTTAGCCCCCACCCCGCCGTTTATCATGTTGCAACAGAATATTCCACTTATCTCAATCAAAGGCAAATGTAATCAAATAATGCTGCAATTGCTGCCGAGTGGAGTTGGTATAGAGTGGTGTATATGCCATCGGGGGGATCCAGGCTCACACCGAATCCGGGTCAGTCAAGTGTATCATAAAATCTAATAAAATGCGGAAAAGTAAACTGCTTCACACCCCTCCTCGACTCCCGCGAAGAGTGATGAGAAGCCCAAGTGGTGGGTAGAAGTGCCTGTCGGCTTGGATGAGTCCGGGAACATATAAAAATATAAACATAAACCGCTACGATGTGTGACAAGCCAAATGCTTTTCGCTCTCGCAGCTGTCTATTCCGGCAGTTGTTGAGACTACCACCGACTACCGACTGCCACCAGTACTCTCTGCCGCCCCGCCCCCCGTTTAGTCGGGTTAATCAACTAAGCAAACAAGGACATTACCAGCAGCTGGGTCACAATAACACAGCCACAGCCACATCCACAGCTACAACGGTAATCAACAGCAACAACCAGAAAATCCCGAACCGAACCGAACCCAAACCGAGAAGAACCAACCCCTCAGGAAAAGTCAGCAACACTTAACGCCTTTTGATTGTTTAATTTCTCAAATTGTTTTATGGATTTATCCCATGCCGTCTGTTGGTTTTTCGCCTGCCTGCCTGCCGTCCCGTCCCGTCCGCCCCCCGTCCGTCGGACACACGCCAATGAAAAATTAATGCAGAGGGTGCCAGCCACGGTGACTGATCGGGAGGGGGGGGAGAGAGAGAGAGGACAGAAGAGAGAGTACGACACGCCACACACCAGGAGAACATCAAAAGCCGAGGGCTTCATTTTTCACCGCTTTTGACATTTGGCAGCCACCGAAGCAAGGAAGAGAGAGCGAGAGCGGTCGAAAGGG